TATATGCCTAAAGCCTAAATCTGATAACTTAGTCCTTGGCGTAATGAGTAGGGCAAAGTACATCCGCTTATTTCAATTTCAGAGCAAATGTCGCTGCAAAAATATCAGCTAGGCCTATAAGTTCAGTTAAGAACGTTTAACATTAAACAGATGCGCACGCGCTACCTGTCAATTTGCAACTTATTGATATGGAAAAACAAGTAATCGATTAGAGTTTACAACATATCTTTAGATATACCACGACGTCAGTGACATGATGTCTTTGAATGCTGTTTTAGAATGATCAGACAACGTCTATTTTGAACAGTTGTGTAGGCGTAGAATACTTTTCGTCGTTTGTTCCATGAATGCGTATAGTTAATGTATCCTGTTTATATCAAGTATTGTATTTTCAAAATATAATCGCATCGGTGTAAAAATAAAATATAACGAAAGTGCTGGCGGGTTGGTTAAAAAGAACAAGCATGTCAAAGGATCACTAGTAATTTAAAAGTTAAATGACCATTAATTATGTTGTGCGTTTAAAAGTGAAAGACTGAAAATTAAAATGACAGTAGTGAAAACATTAACACGAAAATGTATGTCAATATTTTGAAGTCCATATTTACCAAACCAAATTTATAGATGTATTAGCACCTATTATTTTAGGGCCTTTTTGCTGTATTTTTTTATATACATTTAATTAATATTATTATAAAATCCACAATGACTAAAATGCAAAAAGCAATAGAATATGCAGAATATAGGCTACAATTTTTAACTACAACATAAAAATCTATAATTTATAGTAGAAAAGTATCAGTTTTGTTTAACCAATTAGTTGCTTACCTTATCAACGGTTTCAGCAACTGCTTTGGTGAATTACTTCGGGCTAATGAACCATTGATTGAACTGGGTCGAGACTACAATTTTTACATTAAAACATCACAAGGAAACATTGTATCACTATAGGAAATTAACATAAAAATTTTTTAAAAAAGTACATTTCTTGTAGTTAGTGTTATTTAATATATTTAAAGCTGCCTGGGTTAAGGTTTGAAAATATGTCTTAAAACAGTCACTTAAAACATTAAACTGCTAATTTAAAATGATCAAATATTTATCAATTTCCAAGGGAATAAATAACAGCTTTTGTTAATTTACAGACTAAGATTTTAAATGGACTCGCATACAATTAAATGATTATGCAAAGAATATGGACAGGTATTATAAATGCCTCTATATATTATGTGGAAAATGTTTTTATGTTCTGCAATTTCCAACAACTGAAATTGCATAACTTGTAATTGAAAAATTAATTTTTCATAATCTTATCATAGAAGTGTATTCTCTCAACAGCCATTAAAGGGTAGGCCTAAGCCTTTTAATAATGTAAATCGCCACTAATAATTTCCATTTATATTTTCAATATGGATTCCACAATCGCGATAGGCCTAATCGTAACGCACTTGGCATGTTACTACACATTTTACAAACGCGTTTGACAACATTTAATCGCGTTTCCATCACATATGATATTAATCATTTCCTCTAATTACAATATGCGCTTGTTAGATTTGAAGACTTCAAAGTGTTTCAGAAATTATTATTTTGAGATTCAGCAATGAGTCAGTTGTCTGAAACTAGGCTAGGAGACATGCCTTACCAACAGTATTTCTTCTTAATTCATTGTTAACCGTTTCGAAGTCACGTATTGGATTTAAAGTACTTAGTGGCGTTGCAAGACTTACACAATTGGCGCTGGCGGAAGATCCAAACTTGTAGTACACTGCGTTCACACTCACAATTAGTAAAAACAGCCGATATATTACCGGTCTAAGTTTGATAATTTTCAAATTAAAGTGATTTGATTTCTTCAAGAAACTATCCAGCAGTCTTTTATAAGGAGGTCACGGTAGATGGGTTGCCAAAGATTTAACACGTGACTCATTGAGGGCGTTTATTGATGTGTTGAGTCACTGGGATCAAATTATTTTGATTTGGAAGTTTAAAATGATGGAACAATAAATAGCCTACTAACAAAGAATTATGTAATAATAATATTAATATATGTCATTATTATATTACATTATGTCAAGATATGCGCTACATACAAGTTATCAGCTCTCTTTTCATAATGGTTTGTTACAATTGAGGCCTACCAGTCACCTATTTTAGGCTACTTTTGATGGAGAGAGACCACATGAATACAGGGCCTTGTCAGAGGACATAAATATGTGGTCAGATAAAAATTGGACCATAGATATTTTAAAGGCTTCAAAACCTAGGGCTATATGGTCTTTTTTCAGGCAATAGTTCTTTGCATTATTCATTACCGTATTATCCATTGTTGAATCCATATTGACTATAAATACAACATCACGTAGGTTGTGTACATTTTTTTTATTTAGTTGAAAGTTTTAAAAGTACACCGAACTCTAAACGTGTTTATACATGAAAATTCCAATCACAAACTGACAATTTTACGTTGTATGTCAAAAGTAAAGTGTTAGTAAATGTAGCATAACTATTTTCGGACGAGGTCACGTGGTAAATTAAGAGAGTGGGTAAAACTAATATCCGGAGCTGTACACTCAGACAAATCCAGATTGCGTGTTGTAGTTTACTATTGAGTTGACAAGAACCACGTTACTCATATCCGCGGACTGGACAGGTGACATAGTGGTAGAGATCCGTGATCTTAGTAAAAGTCCATGCTTTACCAAACACCTGTTGGAGGAAATTCTTCCTTAGGGTGTCATTTTGTAATTCCTAATTAGTAGCTTTTCCACAAAGTTGACCCAGTAGGTTAAGTCTACTTAAAGACAATTTTTGTTTTGGTGGTGGGGGTGGGGGAATTGTAAAATCGTACATTGCTATTTATTTCTGTAATCTTATAGATGGATTGTTGGCCTATCTATTATGTGTAAATAAAAAAGATCTTACATCAGTATATAATAGTCCTATATATGATTACACCAATATGAAATCTTTAAATTTTTAGCGTGACTTATATCAGCGACTGTGGAGTGTTAGGTATAATGTGAGTTTCACACATGTCTTATATTGTTATCTTTATAATACATATTGAATTTGCACTTATACTCAGAAGAACCATACCTTTGTTGCAGATCCAAATATTTCAAGTAATGAAACACAGTTTTTAAATTCTTCCCTCCAACAATAACATGAAGCGCCACTGATAATTACTTCGGTTTTTTAAATGGCGCTATATAAGTTCTTACCTTATTATTATTATTATAATTACTTTTTAGATTTTAATTAAAAAAAAGCTTCTTAAACACATGAAGGCCTAACTAAATAACTGTTTAACAAGATATGTTTTAGTTGCTTAGAGTTATTTACAATACTTTATCTAGTAACATTGATTCAGCCAGTTAAATATTGTCGTGTTTATGTCTACGACAATTTTGATTAATCAAATTAGAATTCTTTCACGTATATGCGTGTATTAATACGATGGTTTAAAATACACTGAGATAAAACTATCAGAACGTCTGACAGTCAAGGTTAGTTTCTGAGTGTTTTGTGAAGTTTATTAGTTTTACAACAATAGAGGGCGTAATCTACAAACGACTACATTACGCTTGTTTAGATATCGCCAGACTGGGGCTGTTTTGGAAAACAAAATTGTGCAAGTTTCGATAACCTCATCGTTTTATATGCTGCCCTTTTTTGTTCAAAATTTAGCTGACTCCATAACTTTTCTCATTCATTGGTAGGAAGGTTTTGTGAAGTTTATTAGTTTTACAACAATAGAGGGCGTAATCTACAAACGACTACATTACGCTTGTTCAGATATCGCCAGAATGGGGCTGTTTTGGAAAACAAAATTGTGCAAGTTTCGATAACCTCATCGTTTTATATGCTGCCCTCTTTTGTTCAAAATTTAGCTGACTCCATAACTTTTCTCATTCATTGGTAGGAAGGTATATAAAATAGCGCCACCAAACACATAATTAGATTAAGTTGCAGTCACGGCATTGATTAAACCTACTATACTATTTTTATGTTACTCATACTTACAGAGAGATACAGCTGCTTGCCTTAACTGTAAGTTTGTTAATAAGTAAAGTAACCCAGTTCATAATCAAATGCAGGCAATGTGGTCTTGACCCTTGGGGACACGAAGCAGCCATAATGTACATCACCCCAGGTGCAGAATTTGGCAGGACACCAGAAAATAATCCCCTGGTGTTGTTTTTTTTCTACTGTGTTCTTCAGCATGAAAATTGGAACCATGGCGAAAATACCTCTTCCAAAAATGAAATGAAACAAGTGGCAGAACAAATCTTTAAGATTCAGCGCACGTTATTACTTTAGATAAGCCTCTTTCATCACGTTGCACATTTATATGTATAGGGAGTTTTTTTTTTTTGTTTTTTTTTTCAGTTTTATCAATATTAGGATAGGCGGCGCCTGAGTCCTGGGATGGCTGAGACTCAACTGGTGCTGGACAGGGTAGCCTACATATTGACAGATAGATCCCTGGTCAGAGACGAGAGCGTATCACCATACTACGGTTTGGGTGCTGGCTTTTTTAGTTGTTTTTGCGCATAGAGACCCTCGTATTTTGCGCGGTATAAATGCATAACCTTTAACCTTTTACACTTATTTGTAGACGTATTTTAGCTAAGCAAGTACAAATAAATCAAGAATAATGATTTTTATAGCCTTTTTTTTCATAAAGTATTTCGAAAATGGGTGATTTTTAGTCCCACGCTTGATTTCTATCGCAACGCTCCAGATACGATAAAAGCAATTCACCGATAATGAAACCTTGTACTAGTTTTAATTACCATTGAATTCAATAGTAATACTAGTAACAATAGCACAACTGGAACTTATCTATTAAGATTTTAGGATTTTTATTATTGTTAAATTTGTGTAAATTCGGAAGTGTATATTGGGTTTTAAGGAGTTATTCAGTTAATGTCTGACAGGTGTAGGATTTCAATTGTAACCAATGATTTATTATTTGAATCCTTTTATTAGTGCTCTCAGAAATAACAATGGCAGTCAAATGAGCATTAGGCCATTTATGGGAAAATATTAAAAATAAAAAAGGGTAAATCACTTTGAAAACTGAAATAAAATGTTATTGTTTTTTTTTTTTCTAAAATGATGACTCACGAAACTAACAAAATGAGGCAGACATACATTGTAGTACAGGATAAAAGAAAACCTACATTTATTATTGTACGTTGTAGGCCTATAAATATATACAGTAGTAGGACTAATACTATTGTAGTAATACACTCACACAACGGATATCTGATTCATCCCTACTCACTGTTTTTTTTTGGGGTTTTTTTATCGATATAATTATCATTGCAGTTAAGTTCATCTTATAAGAATACTCACCAGCAGGCATAACCCTGGTACAACCAATTTTATGATCAAAAGTAATTCATAATTCATAACAGTTTACAACAATACTTTTTACTGTCGCTCATCCCCTAAAATCTGTCGATATTTTCGGCAGGTCTAAGTGTGTCAATCATATACTATTCTATACGGTACAATTTGTATAATGCAGTTTTTAAATAAATTATATAAAGTATATATAACTAACAAAAATAATAAACACATTATGAGGAACATTTAAGAAAGTATATCAGTAATTTATGAGTATTTTGTTATTTATTTTTAATGTAATTTCTGTCTCTACAGGAAGGGGATACGTGGTCACCAAGTGTATGTGAAGAATGCAAGTGTACCGCTGATGGCGTCCTTTGCAATGTTAAAAAATGCCAATATACATACAGATGGTGCCCTAGAGTAAGTATGCACATTGATATTTAAGCTAAACCATCAAACCAGATGGGTTCGTCGCTGAACAAATTGAAAGTTTATAACATGCTTCATATGTCTTCTTCTTTCCTCCTTCCTCCTTTCCCATCCATTATATTCTCTTTCTTCCTTCTCGTCCACTTTGTTTTCATCGTCCTCATCCTTCTTTTTCTTTTTTACTGGAAATTGTTGATATCGTTCCTGATGATGACATAACTAATCCCAACACGATGGCGTGCATTTCAATACTTGGAGTATGTATTAAACTTTTTCTTAGTGGGGATACCGTCCAATAGAAAGACATAGCTCTAAGCTAGGAGAACACTGCAAGAAGTAGGCCTATAATGACCATTTTCTAGCAGACGGTCTGCCAATTGTAACTTGGATTTCAACCCTCCATTTGAAGCAAGACTGAAAAAGAGACCTAATGTATATACGGATCTCCATGGTTCAGCGCACAAGTAGTGGCTGCCAGTGTAGCCGACAGAGCTTGGTGGTTAAGATGATTGCTTTCCACTCTCAGGATCTTGGTTCTATTCCTATCAGTGTTGCAAGATTTGTTTCTGACGACCAAAAAGAACTCCACTCTCTAAGCCTCATATTGAGACTTAGTTTGAAAGCATCGTGTGTGTATGTTTGTCTTCTGAAAGGGACTGTCATCTACAAGTATACAGTGATATTCGCTGTTGACAAGCTTGGCTCATGTGTGTGAGCCTGAAATATTTTTTTAAAACAAAAGCTATGCTGCTTTTTGATATTTCTATCGCTCATTCTCTTCCTCATATTTACCAGTATATTCATATTTATTATTCAGTTCCTCTTTCTCTCATCTATCTCCCTTTTTTCACTATCATCCTTCTTATCCTCCTACTTCCCATTATATATATATTTTTTTTTATTCACAACCTCTTTCTCATTCTGTTTCTCTTCCTCCTCCTCATAATCCGCCTTTATTAATCTTTTCCTAGCCATTCTGTTTTCATTTGCTTTTACCTTCTCTTCCTATTCTTTTACATTCTCTCCTTCTTTTTGTCCTCTTCTTTCTATCTAATCCCTTTACTTTTTCACTTCTCCTTTTTATTACTCTACTTATTATTCTGCAAAATATTGGTGCTCAATTCCTCCCAGTGTTCTCTGTATGTCAGTCTACAATAAAATTTTATTAAATTTATTAGTGCAAGGACTTGTATGCTTCTCAGCCACCTTTTGGCACGCATGTGCCTTTCCAGTATTTTCATTTCTTAAGAAAAATAATGTCATATCAGTGTCTTCAATATGTATATCAAGTAGCATTACAGTGATGTCATGTAGTTCCTTCACCTCATCAGTAATATAATATAGTTTTGCTGTTGTCATGCATGGACCTTATGTCATGGAAAAGGAAACTATAAAAATTACGCTTTGTTGGTAAAAACAAAAACCCACAGTGAGAGTATTTAAACATTTATATAAAGTTCATAATATGCTTCTTCAATGGTAAATATTTCCTACTTCATAAGAGAACGGAAAAAACATTTACGCCAAAGATGGCGGTAATTCCCTGGGAATAACCGGGTTAATAATATTACACTGTTGACTGGCATATAGGAAAACAATGAGAGCACTCAATAAAAACTGAGTTTCCTCCTTCATCATTCTCTTACTTCTTTTTCTATATCTTTCTCCCCAATCTTCCTTCTGCTTTTTTCATGTTTATCTCCTTTACTTATATTTTTCTCTCCTGCATCCCACAAAGCAATCAACCTTGTGTTGGTGAGTCTCTCTTTGTTTCCCTATATGTCATTGTGTTTACAATGTAATGTTATTGACCCGGCTGATACCGGATTTATCCATCGTCTATCTGGCACCTTTCTTTTAAGTATCCTTTCCCTTTTATTGGAAAGTGGTCAATGGTGTAATTTCCGTGTATATTTGCGTGTTAATTTGGTTTCTACTGTACACTCTGTCAGCATTTAGACCTATGTTGTTGCTGTTTTTACTCTTATGAATAGTAATCAAATTAAAGCTGTTCTCCAACTTTTTTTTTCAATTTTACATGTTTTTTCGTTTGTTGTTGTAGTCTGTCTTTAAAAATATAGCTGATTTGGGATCGTATTTTTAGCCATTGTAACACTTCTCTACCTTAATATTCTTATTTGCATACCGTAACAACTCGAATTAAAGTCCAGTGGGCTTAATATTGAAATGAAGCCCATCTCGAATTGAAACCCCTCTTTACTTGGCAAAACTAGCCTGGAAAATGGGCTTCATTTCAAGATAGCATAGGCTTCTTTTCGAGAAGCCAGAAACCCTCACAAAGGTGTTGAGAGGGTAAAAGATCTGACTACTTAAGGAGTTTAAAGCCTTATTTTTCATCATTGTTAGAGCCTAAGAATGTGTGAAAATTTTAATTTTAGTTACATACGAGGTTCCTTGCCCTCTAATAGCGCCACTATTGTTCAAAGTACTGGTACATAAGTTTCCATTCGAATTTAGAACTTCTCTTTAAATATTGTATCTATATGCAATTGGTACCAAAATCCTTGTCACACCAGTTCCAGTAATGTATTAACTTTATTAGGCGTGCTTTATTAAGTATCGCATTAATTTTAATTTGGTTTGGGCTCCATGCATCCGACATTACATGTACGCCTATAAGACATTTCCCTTTGTAGGTCAAACCATGTCTCGTTTCTTTTTTTTTGTTTTGTTTTGTGGTAATTCCACCACCTTAATTCAACAATAACAAAAAATCATTTGCATCAATTCAAATATTGTCTCGTTTCAATAGAAATGTCAGCCCATAAAGTAGTGTTATGATATGGGTCTAATGCTAGTTTTTAGTATTCTTTAAAACCATACCGGTATGATTTTTTTAACAAATTAATTTAAATTGAACATGTTGTAAGTTTCTTAAATTGTGAATTGTTTTAATGATTGTATGTTTAATGAGATGCGAATAAATCAAATCTAAAAGTCAGTAGGCCTATATTAAAAGCGATTTGCACAACAGTTCCACCCGTGTTCTCAGCTTAGGGAGGAAGTGGATCCAGTTTCGTTCCCAATCTCTAGTTTGTCTGTGTCCCTTACTTTTGTATTGTGACGTCACTAATTAGGGTATAGAGAAGTCTGCACGTTGTGTACCGTATGTTTGGCAATTCATGGACCCAGTAATATTTTGTTTGGATTTTTAAGAGTACAGTACTGTAATATACATTATGGTTACTTAAAATTACTTTTAAAAAATCATCGTATTCCTTTAAAATAATATATACCTACATGCTATGAAAATTTAAAACAACTGACACCTATCAGGCAAACTATGACTCTTTTCTTTAAAAACGTTATAAACTTACTAAACTTCCTGTGCGATGAACTGTTATGCTATTTTTGGAATTATTAATTGAAAGTAAATATTAAGTGTATAAGGCCCCATGAAAAAATATTAGTTTATCAACCTATCAAAGAATAAAAACTGATGAGGGAGGGAGGTTTTTTTTTTTTTTTTTTTTTTTTTTTTTTTGCTAACCCCGGCCCCATTTTACAGATGATCACAAGTAAATCAATGGTTAGAGACACATAAAAAGTCATGGGATTGGAGTCAAATTTATATTTTAAAAATATGTTTTTGTTGTACCAGTAAACATATTTGCAAGAAATCCTAAGCTTTTCAGGTGAAAAAAGATAGAAAAAGGACAGTTTGAAATAAAAAATATATGTTGATTAAAAAAAAAAAAAAGAATCAGATTTTTCCCAAAAGTGATGAGGGAGCGGGTGATAAACTAATAATTTTTTTGATTGGGCCTAATATTGCTTGGAATTCAATTTAAAAACACTAAGTAAAGATACAATAGCACCATTTATTTAGCAAAAAAAACAACACTTTTTTTTTATAAGAAAACACTTTATAAGAACACCGAGGTTGCACACTTAAAAAATAATGAGAAAAATAAAAACAAATTGAAGCTTGGTAAATGAGGTTTTTATTTAAAAACTAGAAAAAGCAACAAATCAAGATAGTCACATACAAAAGTGGTAGTGTTTTGGTCTTACCTGTACCTTATGCGTAATAGGTGTGAGATATGTAATGACCTATAATACAGTGCAGTACAGTTTACAATCATAATTTTCTATCTTTAAAAAGTGTGTAAAATAATAAAAAACATATGAAAATTTGACTGGTTCTTATTTTTTTTAAGGGTATTGCATCCTGTACGTAGCAGTAGGCCTCTCATTACGTTAACTCATTCATAGTTAATTTAATTAGAAAATCACATCAATGTCATTTAAATTCGATGAACTATGTAAGAGACGTTTGTCTATGAATTAAAGAGAAACTGTTACAGCTTCCTGACAAGTTAGCGGATCAATACATTGGTCAGGGTCATTCTTGATGCTTGTGTGTGCAATGTTTACCAACCTCAGTTAATATATAATTTCCGAACGTATTAATACTGCATGAAATTCGAAATTGAATAATATCTAAAAAAATATTGATTATTGACCTGGATTTTTTTTTTTTTTTTTTTTCGTTGTAGGAGACATATTATTAGCAATTCCAGTGACTTGTTTTGCAAAGCACAAGACTAAATGCATTCCATCTCTCTTTACCCATACCTAATGTATAGTCCTATCCGGTATGCTGCTATTAGTCTATTTTATCTGATTCTAATAATTCTCGCTAAAAGAAATTTATTAAAAAATAAAACAAAGTAGCAGAACTGATCGGCTTCTGCAATTTAAATTTACTTTAATTGAATTTCTACGTACATTTGCTCGTTGTTAGCTCAAAAGTATATGTTTTATCAATATTCCAGCACGGTGCAATCACTTAATTTTCTGTATTGGTTTAAGCTATCTCATGTACCCGTCAGCGCATATAAAATATGTGATACAGTGGTCTATAATGGCCGTCACTAACTATTTAGCTATAAGAACACCCACACTTTATCACATTTCTCAGTATAGAATACAGATTTTCATTGACTACCTTTCTTCTTAAAAACCGAAAGGTCCACTGATTAATCTCAGATAAGAAAGTATAATACATACTCCTAGTATTGAAATACAATGGCGTGTATTTCAATACTTGGAGTATGTATTATACTTTCTTACCTTTTTTCTTGTATTCCTGTTATAATTAGGCCTATATACATCCACCTTCCGTTGTTTACTTCGGGCTACGCAAGGTTCGCCTGCTTTAAAAGTAGGAAAAAGAGAACTATGTGCCCATTATATTGTGCCTTATACGTCTAATTGATTAACATTGTCAAAGCAGTACGGCGAGCCAAATTGTCATTCGATCGTAAATAGAGATATTTTAATTTTAAATAGAGATATCTTAGTTTTAACTCTCTATTAATAGAGATATCTATTTAAAATTAAGATATCTTTGTTTAAAACTAAGATATCTCTATTTACGATTAAATGACAACTCGGCTCGCCATAAAGTAGAGATAACTTGGAACATTGCCCGACAAACGATGATAACAAGAGAGGGAGAAAACTGAAAAAAGAGCAACTATCGCATAATTTTGGGCTTATTCGACTGGTTCATTTCGTTGAGTACGAATTTTCGTTGAGTATTATTTTCATTCGACTGGTTCGTAAAATAGACTTCGTTGATAACGAAAATTAACGTAACCAGAATGCGTTAATCAGCGTTAAGTTATGCACATGACCAAAAAAAATATGGCCGATTGGTCAGTTTAGCAACAAAATTTGCGTTAATATAATTTATATTAAATTTCAGAAAATAAAAATTATAATATTTACCCACATTGAAGTCAAAAATAATTGTAGGCTAACAGAATTTAAAAACTGGATGAAAACATTTTTTTACGAAAAACCTATAATGCCACAATCTGAAGCAGCCTTGAGTATACGCAGCGTGTATTGCGGCAACTATGCAGCCATTTTGTTTTGTCGAGTATTTTCTATTCGACTGGTCGTCTTCGTTAAGTAGGATTTTTACCACTGCGCAGGTAGCCGTGGTTTGGCGAAGAACAACCAGTCGAATACGGCAAATGTTACAAAGCATACCGGTACTATAGATTGTGATAGAACATAATATCTGAAAAGGTGTATATTTAGCATACAAATTAGCATTATGCTTATGTAGGTCTGGGGTTATCGACACTTACCGGTTTTAAAGCAAATGAAGAGGTCGTATCATAAGTATGGGACCGGCTATTACAAAGGAAATTAATACCGGGGCTTTCATAAGATTGAACTTACTGTACAAGTGATTAAATTTGCCAACAAAGTGAAATGGGTAAAACGAATTAAAATAAAAGGTTAAACTGCTGGTATTGGTATTTAATAGGAAGATGCACCAAACCAACTACCGTTAAATGAAGTAAGTAGGCCGCGAGGACCACCAAAATTATAGTGAACGAGGACCATATAAACGGACCCTCTGAACATTACAGACTATTTCAGTTGATTGACTTCTTGCACACGAGACAGAAAATTGGCTCAAAATCATGGTGGAATGCGTGATGTCTACTGACGAAAGTATTTATGATGATGGTGACTGACAGATAACTGACATTTATGTTGACAACCTATGATTTGTCCAGACCAAAAGGTTCTCCTTCTGGCCTAAATGTAATTAAAACAGGGCCCCAAGCGTAACATTTGCCATAGAACTTCCGCCTCAGGATATGTATCATTTTATTTTCCCCCTACAATACATTTCTAAATCATTAAATGATTAGATTTATCTACAACCAGAAGTGTTTAAAGGTAAACAGTAGCAGTTTGCTTTTTCCTGCCCCGAATAAGCCTAACCACCCGCCTTCTCTTATTTCTTTGACAAGATAGGCTACCTATCTTTACTTTCTTTTTGTGAACGCTTACTGTATATCCTACCAATTGTTAACCGTACTATTAGATTGATTCTTTGACTCCCGTATGTTTGATTCATAATCGCTTGCACACTAGAATCGATAACACTGTTACTCACTTAAACTTACATGGCCTGTCGTTTAATTTTTTCTATTTAACCGTCAGTACTTGAGTGCTTACAATTTCCAGAAAAGAAAAAAAAAAACTTACCGCTTGTTAATAAATTATTAAAGAGAAACGGACCATGGACAGTCTTAAGGACGTGTATTATCATTTGAATTTGAGCTTTTATTACCATTACTTTATTCTGATGCGTTAACTTGATCCTCGAAGGTTAATAGTGTTGACCGTCGATTTGGTTCAGTCATTCGGTCGTATTAACACGCACCGTTGAGGCATCCATCCGGTGGAGTTGTCGCGACTGTTGCAAATGGTCCGTAGCGGATGTCTAATGAAAAAGAAGCAACTTAGTCTTGACTTGTAATAATAGACCCGTAATAAAAAATAAGCGTTTTTTAAAAAGTGAACAGATCCATTAGTGTTCGATCCTTATCAGACCTACGTGTTCTATTTATCTGGGTCACATTCGAAATTACTTTAAGGTCACAATGTTATTTTTTATTAAAAACTATTACAGATCATCTTCTTATCCTTTATCTAATTCTTACACATAAAGACAACACATATTCAGGGCACATATTGAATACGTTTTAAATGTTTAAGGAGGTACCGGTACTGTATTTACACTTAACAGCTAGTTTATCATATAAGGTTATTGTTTCGATACTAGTTTTGACTCTTAAGACAAGGGCGCCGCTAACTTGCTTATTACATGGGTTTTGGTAGAACCACAGATCCTATATACTGTGATAGAACTAAGTCTTCTCTGATAAGAGGTCCAGTGAACACATTTTGGTTCATGTGCACATTAGTGTGCCCACTATATTTTTTGGAATAGTAAGGTGTTACCCCGATGCTATGGTTCATTTATCCCCTGTCGTTGTGGAATTATGTGAAACATAAAGCTACTAAGCGCCTCTTTACAGCTGCTGCATGCAATTCAGCACAATGACGCTGCGAGTTATGAGTTATTTTTCTACCTTCCCCTTTATCTTTAACAACTACCGTATAGTGAACAAGTGCAAGACATAGGTGATTAATCTCAGTACTCTTTTAAAAACCTTGTATGTTTTGTATAATCACGAACCCTATATTATAATGTATGTTAATATTGTTTTAATTTGTAACTTTTCAGAATCAAGAGTTTAAAGTACCGCTGGGGGAATGTTGTCCTCGATGTATGGAAAGTAAGTAAAATCCAAGTTGATTACAGAAATTGTTTATATGTAAAATTAAATAAGCATTAATAATATTCAAGGTAGGCCTAGTACATACGTACAAGGCCTATTATATAATGTTTTGTAATTTTTTTATTTATTCTAAATCAATCATGCAATGGTATGTAATGGTTTGTGATAAAAATGTAACGTCAATAAAATGAGTAGATGGACATTATCACGTTATTCGATGACGCGTGATGATATTCCGAATTGTGAGCAAAATGATGACATTAACTCAATAACAGGAAATTAAGAATGGCTACTATCAAATGTTTCTGTACATTTGACTTTTATTGCTGCGTACATATATCATTTAGGAACCAATGTTTTTATAGTCTTTAGCAGCTTTGTACTTTAATTTGTCGAATCATAGGTACAATTATTGTTGTCGCTTAGATTTGTCGATGTACTCCTAAGTGGGTCAATTTAAACATGGAGTGTTTATATTATAGCAACTACCTATGCTGGTCTATACACTTTTAGGAAGCCATCCGCATCAGGAACATGCGTGCAAAGCTTAGCTACGTCTATTTATATCTTTTATAATGACATCACATGATATACACTTGAGAACAAACCATCACTATCGGAAATTTACGACACCACCACAATCTTAACCTTCACGAACCAAAATCGTAACCTTCACAAAAAATTGTGCTATTTTTTAGGAATATTAAAGGATAAATCAGCCCATTGAAGATTACAAAAAATTGCAAAAGTGATATTCAGAAGTACCTTCACACGTCCTCTGTGAACCTTAACATTTCAAAAACCACAGTATTTTACTTTACGATATTTAGATACATGCTTTTGTGCATTCAGCATCCACTTGGGTGAATAAATACGAGTACGTTTTTTATTTATAATTACTTTTTTTTATTTCACTTTATTTCATCACATGGAATGCACTTGAGAACAAATCAGTACTTTTGAAAATTTACGACATCACCACAATTGTTTGTCGAGTATTCCAGAAATATCTTTTCAAAAATGAAGGACGAAAATATATTGGCATTTTTTTTTCTTTGCGGTTGTCCCGCATTACACTTTTTTTTATAAGAACACATTTTATTAGAACACTGAGGCTGAAATCGCTTAAAAATTCAAAACGAAATAAGAACAAATTGAGGCCTAGGTAAAATGTCAAATGAGGTTTTATTTTTTTTAATAGTAAACCAACAAATCTATCTGAACCTTATTTGCAGTAGTCATTACTATGTAATAACCTTTATAATAGAGTAAAGTAATACAGTATAATGACTATAAAACAATAATTTTCTATGTTTGAAAGTTATGTAAAAATAAAAGCAAAATAAGAACACTTTGAACCTGAAGTCGGCCAAAAAAGCCTGGGCAACTTTTACTGGTTCTTATAAAAAAAATTGTATAGGTTTTATTGAAATATAGTATTTATTATAGAACTACATAATATGCGTGCGTTTCTGTAACGAAATGTTATTAGCAATAAGGTATAGGCCTATGCTTATCGGAAGTTTCATATGCAGTAATCAACTCAATCCACAATAATTTCAGTTATAAAACCACAGTTCATTAGTAAATCCTACATGATAGCGTGCTAATTCACGGTCCCAAGGACGACAGCAAAGAAAAAATGTCAATATATTTTCGTCCTTCAATTTTGAAAGGATTCTGGGATCCTTGACAAACGATTGCACTATTGAAATGACAACATTTTCAATTTTTAAAAAAGTTTTTTTTTTATGTTTACAAACCTTTCATGTTATGTATTGTTTATTTTTTTTTAAATATCTATTATGAATTTTAAAGTGATGCGATGAAAATTTTGACGTTAGATTGGGTTGAATTCGGTGTAAAACAAATCAAGAATTACTCACAAAAGTCGGAAGACTTATTTCTAGTGGGGTCCTTCTAGTGAATTTAACATTCGAGCGGGAGACAATCCAATGCTTCTCCCATTTACTGCCATCTTCAACGTGCACATGGACCATAATTATTGCACAGGACCAACGGCGTAAACGTCTGTACTACAACTGTTAACTTGAATTTCAGCTATCCTGCAGCTAAAACATGAGCAGCAATAGGATTGATCAGGGAACAAACGTCTGAAAGAATATCCATGGTTAAGTGCACACAGGGCCTAGGCCTACCATCAATTTAGCCAGCTGAACTTTGTCGCTTTGCGTTGAGAAGACATACATAAAAGTTGTGACGTCGTTTATATTTTGATTCTTTCACACCTACAACTACTGTACACTTGGCAGTAAAAGACAATGTAGTTTTATGTATATGCATGGAGGTATAAAATACCTCCATGGTATATGTATGTCATAATGAAGCTTAGAGTGGAGCTGTTATTAGATAGGCATATTGATATGGGGGTTACTGTATATGGAATAATATGGTCCAAAGACCTTGGATCGGAATGGCAAGCTTTACCACTAAGCTTAAGCTCCACGACATGAATGACATAGGCCTTGTTCGTCGTCCAAAAAAGAAAATTACTCCCTTCAAAAACTGAGACACTGGGTTGAAACCATAGATATGTGAGGAAACAGCTGTACACTCCCTGAACTTTCTAATGACACTAAATAATAACCGGCTACGGATGAATATCCATTCTAAAGCCTATGGCAAGTCATCTCGCCGTCATGTAATGAATAGAATTCTTGGGCCTACATTGTCATGATCATGGTCATCATCATCATGGTCATGTCCTTATCTTTATCATTGTCGTCATTTCGTCGACTAGTCAAGCGCACGTCAATCAGCCGTATATATGGCGATTTGTGCAGTAAATACATTCTTGTACTTATCATTTATATTTTTATCTTTCTTATCATGATCATTATACTATTATTAATATTATTAACACACTCAATAATATTGCAATTCAATAGGAAATACTACTGGTGTCCGTGCAGTCGTAGGCCGTAGTACCGTACTCGGTGTCTAATGGTAGTCAAATATCAAACAAATTCCAATGACTCTTCAACCCACTTTAATTCGATTTTTCATTTTGTACTCCACAATTCAGTATTGTTATTAATCGCATCACTCTATATCCTTTCTTTAATAGTTGTAGAGTAAGCAGGCCTACTTCATTTTTGCAACAGAGATGAGTACTAGAATATCGGTATTAATATCATTGAAGCTCTACAAACACGCCACAATTGTAACTGAATTACCTGAGGCCAACAACCCTCTAATGTGTCGGGTCTCTATCCCCCTGATTCAATATTTGCAAGTTCAACCACTTTACAAAAGACTGAAACCTATATTCTATTTGCCTAACTCCTTGATAGTCCGTTAAATGAATAAGTTGTTATACCATATTAAAATATAGTATTTCTTTTTTGCAACTGGTATTATTGTGAAACCTAAACCGATTTCAGTGTCATTCTGCGATGAACTTACAAAAATCTAGAATCCGGTTGATATACCTTTTGAAATAAAACATGAAGTTATCCAAATCAGACACAAGTAATATACAAAAAATATTAAAAAGTAAGGGTATGCCCAGGACCTCCTTGAGTAAGATCGCGGCTGCAAAATCCACCCTTCTTAAAACCAGGGAACAGTGCATAGATAAACGTACACAGCATTGTAATAGGCCTATTATGGAACCATTGTAGTGACAGTACCGTACGTTATAAAACGTTTGAGAAATTTTCCTCTTATTGGATTTATAGGCTATTTGAATGGCTTGCCAATTTACTTTAAACAATAAGAGTTAGTGGATAGTTTTTAACATATTGAATGAAGAATGAACCAACACTTTCATCTTTTCACACTATCACTTTCTGTTTTCCCTCACACTCCACCAGTAACTTTCACAAATCGTTGGTTCTTGGCTGTCTGAAAGAAACGTAGAATAGTTTTAATTTGTGAGCGCACACCGTATATAAAATTAAAAATTATATCTGAGAATCCAGTTGATAAATCTCATGGGCTTATTTTAAAAAATATTTGTTTGAACATAGTGGTTTGAGCAATTACTCCCTACCAAATTATTTTTAATTTGTGATGTGTTAAGAACACAAAATCTCAGATTTCGTTTCTTAAGCACCATGTTTTTATTTTCAAACGGTTAATGCATTATTTAAATATTGAAGAACACCATGGATCCGATCCTAATTATTCATTGGACGAAGTACAAACAAATATATGCCCAACGTAGAATTATTTTAATTTCTGATTCGCATATTAGAACATAACATATGAAAAGTTGTTGGTCAAATCCGATAGAGTTTATTTTCAAACATTAAATTAATTGCTTAAAAATTAATTTTTGAAGACCATAGCTCCCATTCTCATTTATTTCTAAAGAAATCTTAACCAATACGCCCAACGTAAAACTATTTGAAGTTTCTATGTGTATACATAGGAACACAACATCGCAATTATGGTGTTTTGATCTCTTAGGACGTTTAATTTTGAACATTTACTGAGTTTGAAAACCATGACTCAGATTCTTAGCAATTGTTGGATGCAATTCAAACGACTACGTCCGACATGGTTCGACGAAGGATTGTGTTAATTTGTAATGTTTTTACCATAACTTCCGCAACACCCAGGATTATGTATTTATCATTATTTGGTGTGTTGATTGATTGATTGATTGATTGATTGATTGATTGATTGATTGATTGATTGATTGATTAATTGATTGATTAATTTGTTGATTGACTGACTTCATTCAGTATAGGCCAATTTAAGTAAAATAAATATATTTAAAAATGCTAAAACATCTTTTAGATTGTTGTTAAGATTCCCAAAACTATTGATATGTTTTAACTTGATTAGTTCAAATATTATAATTATTAATTAGGCCTAGCACAGATACAGTAATAATATTGTTATAAAAATAATAGTTTTACTACCTGTGCTATTAATGATATTGTTTGTTTCTTTTTGTATACCGTACCATATACATTGGCGGTCTTTAAAAAACATTTGTGTTAGAAGGGTTGCCAGCACTTATTCAA